ACTAAAAAAAAAAAAAAAAAAAAACGTAAAAACAATCCTCATAATCCTGATGGTTTATTGCATACTAATTCTTCTTCTTTGAGACTACAGAGAGAGAGTGGTAATTGAGGGCGCAAAGGGATGGAGAGAGACGGAAGGACCACTAGATGGAGAGGGAGAGACGGGCGAAAACAGAGTGAGAGACAGCCTACAGGAGAAATTCTTAGCCGATGGCGAGATCGGAGGTGCCGGCTGCCAATGGAGAGAGAGAGAGGTATCGCGACGAGAGAAAAAATCAGCTAGGGCTTGCGGGGTGAAAAGGAACCTTTTTGCTTTGTGAATAATTATTAGAGATACTTTTAAAATTATTAATTATTTAATTCATTAAACTTATTTAAATATAAAAGCAATAACATCGGCAAATCTTCCTACAAAAACGTTTGTGGGAAAACAAGTTCTCTACAAACTTGGTGGCATAAACCGAATTGAACCACAATTATTCTGTTGAAGAACTTTGTGAAGAACTTCGGTAAAGGATTAAAAAAAAAGCCCTAGTCGAACCCAAGAAACCGAACTGAACCACAATTATTCGGTTGTCGACATGAATTTATCTCAAATCAAAGCAAACCAAAATTGTTCGGTTGCCAGCCTGAATTCATCTCAAATCAAACAAACGGAACCAAAATTGTTAGTTTAGTCCTTATAGTTTACCTTTGCCCAAACCGACACACCCTATCTTTCAGAGTCTCGAGTTAGCACGCAGTAGAATTTCCAATTCTCTCGTTTTTTTTTTTTTTTCAATTTTCCTCTCGTTGCACTCGTGGTCAATTGATCTCCCTCTCTCTCTCTACTTGTGCCTTCGCCAAGAAAGAGATGATAAATTTTTATAATTGAAGTTATTACATAAAAGTAAAATTAGTTTGATTTAGATCACGTTTTTCTTCATTTTTTGTGGTCATTTATTCTAATCATAGTATAAACATCAAACATCAAACATTGAACGGTAGAAGAAGCGGTTACTCAAATGCATTTCAATTTCTGCCCCAAATCCGCCTCTCTTCCCTCACATTTAAAACATGAACACTCCCTTAAAAACCAGTTTTGTATTAAATCAAATTTCTGAAGGAATGGCTAACAAATAACAGTTCAGTTCAGTTCAATCCCCTCGAACAACATCAATGTAACCAGTTCCAACAACCATACTTACAAAAAACAGGGACAAAAACAAAACGCAAGAGCCATGAATCCATTAAAATAAAACGCCTAAACGAAAGAAGAAGAAGAAGGACTGACCTGGCGTGGCGGCTCCGCTGCGACGGCAACGGCGGCGACGGAAAAAGCGAAGAGAGATTGACAATAACAGGAGAGAGAGAGAGAGAGAGAGAGAGAGAGAGAGGTTTTATAGTGAAAATTAGTGTGTGGCGGCAGAAAGAGTGCTTAGGGTTGGGCAGTTGACTCCTCAAAGGCTGCGTTTTCTATTTCTTTGGGACCAAGCAAAACTTTTATTATCAATTTTTATTTTCATTATTTATTTATAAAACATTTAAATATAATATAATATACTTCCAACCAATTTCTAACATTATCTTAATTTATTACTTTAATTATAAATTTGCTTTATTCTAAAACTTTTAAATTAGTCCTTATTTTAAATTTTAATAGTTATTAATTTAAAATTTTTAAATCTTACGATAAATTAAACTGTGGACCAATCATTTTTAAAATAATATTATAATAATAATAATAATTTTTAGTAAGTAAGATGCTATAGTTGTTATCCTAAGAATCTAATTATTATTAATAATACCTATCGTATTATTTGTTTATATGGAATTTTTTTTCGTTCAAATTTCTTATTTTTCCTTAAGAATATATATAAAACTATTTCAGTTAAATTCTTGGTTCGTTAAATTATTGGTTCCAATAAGACTAACATATTAAACATAATGAAGGTTTTAAAGACGATTAAATGATGTACGTTATGATGATCTTAACACAAACGAAATCCTATTACAAAGTTTTAAAGCAAAATATTACAAAATAATTATACTTTTAGATGTTACATAAAACATGTTACATTTCTCTTTATGTTATAATTGGTACAAGTTTTCCTTTGAAATTTGTTATAAAAACATTATTATATTTTTCTAATGAATTATGAAACATTCCCATTAAAATTTTAAAGAATTTTTTTTTTTTAATATGGGAATGTTGAGAAACTATTCAATTTGTATATTAATCAAATTTGAAGTTATTTTTAGTTCAAATTATTATAAAATTTGATATTATTAAAAGCAATAAATTGGTGGGATTTTTACATTTTATTTTGTAGATAAATAAAAATTTAATAGAAGTAAAAATTGTAATTAGAGATGTCTATTCAGAGAGGCTTATCTATGTACATTCACCACTTAATTTCCTGACTCGCTTCATGTCACAATTATAATATAAAGAGTAGATTGTGACCCTCACATTACAATAAGTAAAGCGACAATCAAGTAGCGCCCATCCGACCACACAAGGGTCTAGATGAGTACTATAATGTGACCGAGGACGGTGTATCGTTCAACGCACCACACAGAGTAAGCATTGAAGAGAAGACGAAACACGAGTAAGATATGGACATTGAGTAGACTTGAGTGTCACAAATAGACTTGTTGAAAGGCAGGATAAGGTCTCGAGCCTTACCTGAAAAGTCGGGGTTCTAAAGAAAATTTAAAAATGCGATTCTAAAATCAAGTCCGTCCATATGAAATATAAAAACTCGCCAAATTTGGTATAAGTCAAACACCAAAGGGATATTCCACGACACCATATGTCTGTTTGCCAAAATCATGTCTACACCCATCAAATTAGAAATGTCTCAAAATGTACCGTAGGAGAGGCATGGTCTCACCTCTACACCACGAACCCTGCGACCTATGTGAGCTACCTGTGGCACATGTCTGTCACAATGAGAGCAAACATTACAAGACGAGTGTCTGTACTGGACGGTCCAACCCATGTGTCAAAAGTTGGATGCATAATTCTCTCAATACAAATCAACTAACGTTTATATACATAATTCTCACCAACTTTTCCTTCTTTTTCCCATTATTAGTCTCTCTAATTGAAATTTATTAGCAAACAACTGTCCGATGTAAATTTGTGTAAAAAACAATCAAATTAATGCATCTCAAATGGAATATGAGCTAAGATAATTAGAATGCAGCTGATGTTACCTATAACAAATACATTTCAACTGATTCATTTGAGTAAATTGGAGTCTACTTTCTTTCTTTTAACACTTCTAAATTGAGGTATGAACTAGAACTCTGCAGAAACGTAACATTATTCAGCGCATAAATAACTGAAGCTCAACAAAAGTGAACCTAATAATTAAAAGTGGCCCTTTAACACTTCCACACCATACATGCTCGTTACCCACATACATTATCTACATAAAGGCTGGTGGGAAAGGAAAATGAAAAAATAACAAGTTAATTCAACATAAATGACACAAAAAGGGAGGAAAAATGCATGGAAAACTTTGCAGTTACAAATTTTCTCTTACTTGTGAAAGAACAAAACTCGCCTTTTCCCTTTTCTTCTCTCACCTGCCTGCAAGGCACAGTAGACCTTCATCAGATTCGAAAAACAAAAGGATAGTGTTTGCTCATAAGAAAGCATCCTAAACTTTTAGCTTCAAAACATATACAGCTTTCTAAGCAACATTTTGCATTGTTGGTACCTCACTCTCAAGCTTAGTTGAGATTGCCCTTCGGCCATTATGAAAGCCTGACTATAACAGCCCAAAGTCATCGCTAGTATAGATATTGTCCTCTTTGGACTTTCCCTCAAGATTTTTAAAACGTGTCTGCTAGGGAAAGGTTTCCACACCCTTATAAAGAATGTTTTGTTCCCCTCTCTAACCGATGTGGGATCTCACAATCCACCCCCTTCCGAGGCTCAACGTCCTCGCTGACACACCACCCGGTGTCCACCCTCCTTCGGAGCTCAGAGTCCTCGTTGGCACACCTCCCGGTGGCTGGCTCTGATACCATTTGTAACAGCCCAAGCCCACCGCTAGCATATATTGTCCTCTTTGGGCTTTCTCTTTTGGGCTTCCCCTCGAGGTTCTTAGAATGCGTCTGCTAGAGGTTTCCACACCCTTATAAAGAATGCTTCGTTCCCCTCTCCAACCGATGTGAGATTTTATATTGACTAAATCACATTGGAGGTAAACTGGTATTCCCAGTAACAGACACAGTGACGTCAGTTGATTGGATACCTCCTTAGAAAAGAGTGGAATGGAGAGAAGCTAAGATAAAGGTCTTAGCTGTTTCTAAACTCTAAACCTCAAGTAAGAAAGGAATGTGAGTCAAAAAAGAAGGTTAAACATCAATCGTACAAGAAAAAGGCAATCTAGGCCCTCTAAACTAAAATAAAAGGCGTAAATATCTCCCTTTGGCTAGATCAAGTTTCTAAGCTTAGTTGCAATTGGGAAAAGTTGATTCAGGGCAGAGTACAGAGAAAGCAATTGATCTTTCTTGAGGTTCAATCAACTTCCTATAAGAACATTTGGCTTATAAGAATTCACTGCTGAAGGCCGATAGTTTTATTTGTTTCATAGAATATATTTCTAAGACTAAGTCTTTTATACACTTTTGCAGTTCTTAATACTTCCAAATATAATGATTAATGGATTTCCTTTAATAAAAGATTCTCCTACAAAAGGAAAATACAAAAAATATAAGTTGCATAGAATTGGTAAATAAAAATAAAAGATAAAAACAGTGGCCGTACCCTAATAACGAATAGTCTCAAGGTTAGCACAATGGTATCTCTTAAACTGCAAAAAAGAAAACAGAACAAAATAATAAATCACTGAAGACAATGCAGTTGAGAATATTACATTATAGAAACGAATTACAATCTATCATCAGAATCAGAACTTGATTTTATGTAGCCAAGATAATAAATTCCCTAATTACATCTATGAATTGTAAATGAGTTGCTAATTAATTAATGTCAAATCGAGGTACAAATTTTCTTTACACAAAAAACTTCGGGTCACTAGGCACAGTTAAACATGTTTTGGAACTGTAGCCGGTCATGAGTTCGAGATTTTGTAATATCATGAATCCTATGTGAGCCTACATGTGTTAAGTATTTCTTTTTTCAATGAAACAAATTTTTTTTTCCCTGATTCGGTAAAAAGTAGCAGAAGTTCTTATCAACCCCTAGCAGCTCCCAAAAAACACTCCAACTAGAATGAATTATAGCAGCCTAAGACTTTGCATCTGCTATCATCACAAATCTAAGGTCCTTAGAATTTGTGTATTTATACCACATATAAGGTGTAATGGTCATGAAAAGAGCATAATGCATGGCTTCACTTCTAAAGAAACTCAGCAGCTTAAAATTTGCTTCTTAAATATTAATGCAAAGTTCGTTTCTTTTCTTTTCTTTTCTTTTCTTTTCTTTTGTTCCTTCCATGGGGGAGGGGTGGGAATATGGAAACAGAGGAAGAAATTAATCTATGATAATATAAATTCCAATTCCCTACTTACCAGCTAATATCTGCAGAACCGTTGCCAGCACGCAAGTGATGCTCAACTTTGTTTGAACCAGTTATTACAAACTCAGAGGGATCTCCAAATGGAATTGAAATCTACAAGGATGAGAATAGACATAAAAATTTGTATGGAAAGAATAATCAATGTGAAGAAGTATATCTTTCAAGATCAGAAAAATAATTGTCTACAAAAAGTAATTGTATGTATGGAAAGTATACACAGGTGTGTAAACTTTTAGTCGGGAGAATATACTATGGGTTCTTGGGCTTTTTCTTCTTCTATGACAAGAAACAAAAACTATCTTCGACATTTGGAATGTACAAGTAGTCAACTTTTTACAATAAATAAAATGAGAGAGAGAGAGAGAGAGAGAGACCCTCCTGATTACAATGCACTATATCATATTTACTTAAATATATACAAGATTGAAGGTGGTCCTCCAAGGGCATCAAGGAAATTGTATTCAGAGGTGCAACTCCCAAATCCATACGATAAAAATTAAGATTTTAAGCACAGAAAAAAGGCTATTTTTTCAACGAAAAAGATAAAAAAAAAAAATTCATTAAACCAAAATAGATGCATTCCCCTCCTTAGGATTAACATAACTGAGCCAATATGATGGAGAGAGCTTGACCACCAAATTTTTAATATGGAAGCCACCCTCTAGATTAGAGCCCTCCAAAAAAATTAAAAGGCCTCCATTCCATTTGCAATATTGGAAAGCATCATGAAAGGAGTAATATAGAAAGTAGGGAAGCTAGAAACACATTATTGAATGAAAGTGAGGCAGCCTCCTGTAATGCTCAAGGACTTATCCATTAGCAAGCTTGCGAGAGATTCTTTCACTAATATTTTCTCAAGGAGTGGGATACCTTGGGAGAAAATTGA